GCTTCTGGGTCTTTTGATAAAAGAAAATATATATTTATCTTTGATGAATATTTGTTATAAGAAAATGACATTACCTAACATTGTCAATGGTTGTAACTCAGTTGGGTGGTTTTGGAAGATTTGAACAGATCAACTGAGAATTACCAGACATTTTTATACCAACTCACCTGACAGGTAATAAGAGCACAGGAAACTGTTTTTCAGCGGGAGGTGGTGCTAAAGAGAAAAATAGTGTTTTCCATAGTTCACTCCTTACCCTTGGTGGAGACTTGGTTTGTTACAGCTCAACCATGACAAGAACATACTCTTATGCCACCTCAGTGTATTGTTTTGGAGGATGGCTAGTGTTTACATGGTGATAGTTGACATGTTTTCCTCTTGTAATATAATTATGTTGCTTGACTTCACCTGAGCTGTGTTGTTCCAGACTCACCTGGTCTTCTGAAAGCAGTTTCACTTTTGGATGAAACTGTGGACCAGTACAGCACCTTCACCTGAAAGCACGGATTCCTCTCTTACCCTCCACCCTTGCGTTTGTGTGTGTAAGGTGTGATATGAGTGAGAGGCTTTGAATCAAATGAAAGAAATCTCCTCAGATCCCTACCAGAACGCTAACATTGGTGACAGATCTGATTTGACCTCTGTGTCATCTTATTCTGGTGTTCCCAGATAGAATTGTACTAAATCATCTCAGAGACAAGAAGTACTAGACGGTTTGAATTTAATAAACAAAAAGAAAAAGGAGCTTGTTTTATTTCTTCTCACAAGAAGAAATTTTATGGTGTTGTCTATGACTTTAAATTTCCAACTTGCATTTTCCAAGGGTCTAGAATGTGCTAGAATAAGTGTTGTAGCTGAGAGTGGGACATAGGTAAGAGTCCACTTGTCAAGGGCTCTGTCTGGATATTTTACAGTGACTTGTAGATAGTTTACAGTTGAACGGCAGCAGAAAATGCCAGAAAGTGCCAGAAGGTGAGTGGTGGTTGGCAGAAGTCACCCACTGCTTTCCAAGCTGTCTTCCTCCCCCACCCCTCGCGCCCCGCCCCCACCTCCTGCTTGCATCCCAGGCAGAGACAATGCCAGTGGCCATTCTCCGATGGCCAATCTGTTCTGCAGAGGTTACCAGAGAGGTCAGGATCATTCCGTGGTGATTTTCTATCTGACTTCTTTTCTGATGCTATTTGAGATCTTGACCACAGTCTTCACACAACCAACCCTCTCCTCCGCTCCTGAGATGAGTGGTGAGCTTCAGTAGAATGGGGACATTATTATTGCTCAGAACAAGCATCATTTTTCAGTAGTCTGTCTCAGGTAAAGATAGGTAAGAGCTTCTGCCCTGGGGAAAGTTATGGTATCAACCTCTTTCCTTAGCCATGTGCTGTCAAACACAGCTCTTCATCACTTGGTAGGACATTTGAGAAATGAATGCTGGAGGATCCTTAAGGAAAGAGAGTCAACTCAGGACATGGATCCTGTGTTTTAAGATTGCAGCATCTATAAACAGGCACTTCCTGCTCTTGGGGCTATCGCTAATAAAATGAAGCTTACCTTAAGTGATCTGGAAAGATTAACCCGACTCTGCTGATGACGATCAGACTTACCGAAGCCAAGCCTGACACCCAGGCACCAAAAGAAGCATGGATAAAATCATTTTCTTGAGAAAGTGATTTGAGAAAGGGACTTAGGATAGGTATCTCCCACTGGCACGTGGACGCTGGCCTCTGGTGAGACCCGGTACTGTGGTTGTTGTGGTAGCAGGTGAAGTGTTTGCAAAAACAACCTGCACAGTTCCTTCTCTGTGCCTTGCTTTGGGCATAGATAAAAATGAGAGCCTGGTGGGAGAGTGTCTCAGCTTTGTGCTGTTGGCAAATTTCTTGTCAAGCCTATCACAGCAAATGAGTGAGAAAACTCAGCAAGTGTGTCTTTTGAGTTCAAAGGTGCTATTTTGTTTTAGGATAGCTGTGAATAGTTTGGAGATCGAGCCAGTTGCATAAATTACATAATTGAATACTCTAGCCTACATAAAGTTTAGGTGGAGATTGAAGGTTTATAGTGTTCTGATATTGCGTAGGGTTCAGATTTGTTTTCTCTGTCAATTAAAGAAGTAAAGGGCAGGAAAGTGTTTAAAGCCAATGGAGTAGGTTTATTTGACAAATAGGACTCTCTGCAGGGAAGGGTCCCGGGATTTGGAAACCACGGTCTCTCTTCCCGGGTCCCTATATAGACTCCTTTTGCCGCTTCCTACTAAGTGCATGCTCCTGCTCTGATTGGTTGAGGGGTGGCCATGCCCCGTGAGGAGTCTCGGGGATTGGTTGCCCCATCTTCCCATGGAAGGAGTTCTGGATTGGATGGAGACTAGGAGACCACATACTTGGTCACAGCCAGGAAGGGTAGCCCCATCCCAGCTGCCATCTCTCCTTAATGACAAAGCCTGGGAGGCTTAACTTCTCCTCACTTGCTTTGGCCTTAAGAGGTTCATTTGTTTGTTTGCTTATTTATTTGTTCCAGTCTTGGGGCTTGACCTCAGGGCTTCCTACTCTCTCTTGAGTTTTTTCATTCAAAGCTGGTGCCACATTTCTACTTCTGACGTTTTGGTGGTTGATTCCAGATAAGAGTCTCATGGATTTGTCTGCCTGAGCTGGCTTTGAACTGTAGTTATCAGCTCTCAGCCTCTTAGGATTCCATGGGTGAACTACCCGCATCTGAGGTATCAAACAAAAAGTATTAAGCTGGGGCCAATGGCTCTGGGATATAATCCTACTTACTCAGAAGGCTGAGATCTGAGGACTGTGGGTTAAAGCCAGGTAGGAAAGTTCCTGAGACTCTTATCTCTAATTAACCATCAGAAAACTGGAAGAGGTGCTGTGGCTCAAGTGTTAGAGCATTAGCCTTGAGCAGAAAAAGCTCAGGGCCAGCACCCAGGTCCTAAATTCAAGCCCCAGGATTGACAAACAAAAAACCCATAAAATATTCAAGGTTGCTTATATGAACAAGAATACTGTGGGCACCACCATATTTGATGAATGGATTATATCTCTTTGAGTGTACTTCCCTTGTTACAAATAGATAGCAAGGTAGCATTTGAGAGAAACAGAGTCTAGACTTTCCCCCACTGTCAAAGATTCACTCTTTTAGAATTTAATCTGAAAATGAGAAAGACATAAATTCATTTTCTTTGAAGAAATAAATCTGTCGCCACCAGTTTTCTATTTTAGTAGTATTGTGATAACGTAAAACAAGTCAGATTTATGTTTAATAAGGGAAAAGAGTTGAAAGAACTACAAAGATAATCTCTATAAGTTAGAGTTGGTCTGTTTTTACAAGGTTAATTTTGATAGGGAAATGTGTGGTGCATTTTTAGATGAGGTGATGGTTTTACCAGCTAACGTTTTCAACATACTCAACCCAAAGAGATGAAATTCATCGGATCAGTTACAGAGGATACTAATAAAATAACACAATATTCCTATGTTGGTTTCCATGGACAGTGTAATCTCCAGAGACCAAAATGTCTTCTTTTATTTCTCCTGAGAAAAGGTTACTTCTGTTGCTGGTTGTCTACAGTGAAAGAAAGCGGGAAGAAATACAAACTTAAAGAATTTAAGATAAACGTCTTTGTCTTTCAATAGTCTCCTGCTGACAGATCTCAGAAGATTCACGCTGGTGATGAAGTCATTCAAGTTAATCGGCAAACTGTGGTGAGTCTGTTTATTGGGGCCTGTCTCCTTTAGAACTTGTAGCTAGAGCCAGGTACAGTTGGTTCACACCTGTAATTCCAGCTTCTTGGGAGGCAGAAATGTAGAAAATTACCATTTGGGACTAGCCCTTGGCAAAAAGCTAGTGACACTTCATCTCAACTAATAAGCCAGGCATGGTGACTCATAGGGCTGATATATGTTACACAGGAGACTAGGTAGGAGAATCCTGGTCTGTGGCTACCTTGGGCAAAAAAAGTTGGAGGAAAATAATTACCTGAAAAATAACTAAAAGCAAAAAAGGGTTGAGGAGGTGGCTCAAGTTATAGAATATCTGTCTAGGAAGAGCTATGCCCAGTCTTACTAAAACAAAAGCTTTTATTTAAGTCTAAATGTTCACTTTCTGTGCTGTTTCCTGCTACTTTCTTTGGCTTATTTAATTTTGTGCTGGTACTGGGGTTGGAACTCAGAGCCTCATGTTCTTGCTTAGCTTTTTAAAAAATCTATAAATGTATTTTCATTATCTTTAATAGTTGTACAAAGGAGTTGCCATTTAACAAAGCAGTTTATGTTTAGTTTTTGTAGGACATGCATTAACTTCTTAACTACTCTGTTCACCTCCTCACTTTTCCTTCCTCTACCCCTTTGCTCAGCTTTGCTCAGCTCTTTTGCCCAAGGCTAGCACTCTACTCCCACTAGAGGCATACCTCCACTTCCGGCTCGTTGGAGATATGATTCTCTCAGATTTTTCTGCCTGGGGCAGCTTTGAACCACCAGCCTTAGATCTCAGCCTCCTGAGGAGCTTAGATGACAGGTCTGAGCCACCAGTGCCACTAGTTTACTTAAACGTTTTGCAGGAACATGTCTGTAACCTGCCTATATGTTCAGAATTGATCTTCTTGAGCGTGTTAGCTCATGAAATGAGTCCTTCCTCCTCATGTGGTCCTTGCAGGTGGGATGGCAGCTGAAAAACCTGGTGAAGAAGCTGAGAGAAAATCCCACGGGTGTGGTGCTGCTGCTGAAGAAACGGCCCACGGGCTCCTTCAACTTCACCCCTGCCCCTCTGAAGAACCTGCGGTGGAAACCGCCCCTCGTACAGGTGCCTGTGCGGCCTGCAGTCCATGGGCTGCTCCGTCTCACCAAACAGACAGACAAACAAAAAGATGAAGAGCTGAGCACACTTGGTGTTAGGAGTTGGTTTGTGTATGATGATTCCATCCTCTGTGTGTAGGAAAAGTCTAAGGCAGGGCTACACTGGAAAGGAGGGAGCTACTAGCCAGGCGTAGCTACTTAACTCAGCCACATTCCTGGTGCAGAAGAGTCACAGGTGGTGGGTGCTGTCCGTTAGACTGCATGAGTGTGGACATTTCCACCACTGCAAGGAATTCTTTCTACATCTCCTGCTTTTGACCCCATGACCCAGCTGCATACAAGCTGAACTCTGGTCTTAGAGAGCCCACATGGGTTGAGTTCTCAGTAGTACCGTACCAAGCACGTGGTGGGGTGGTAGATGCACGGCCATCACGGAGAGCCACATTATTCCACGCAGTGGTATTGCTCAGAGTAGCTAGTCCGTGGCAATAATAAAAGTCAGACTAACTTTGAGTCAACAGAGGTATGAGGTGTTTTACACTCAGAGAGGTGTGCACAGGACCGCCCTGCTTCTGTAATACTAGAGGCTCCAGTGGAAAAGGCATTTCCTTTCACCTTTCCTGAAGACCTAAAGGATGGTAGGACATGGCTCTGTAAGGAAGTATACTTCGCTTGGTAGGCTTTCCTTCCATTGTGACACAGTCCTGACTACTGACTCTTCTTTATGAGTACCAGCAAAAATCCATCTTCAAAACAGGCCAGAAAAAGAAAAGTCCACCCTACAACTATGGCATTCATGTAAAGATCACTGAGCAGCTGGGCATCAGTGGATCACACCTGTAATCCTAGCTACTCAGGAGGCTGAGATCTGAGGATCACGGTTCAAAGCCAGGCAGGGAAAGTCCGTGAGGCTCTTATCTCCAATAAACCACCAGAAAAACAGAAGTGTCTCTGTGGTAGAGCACTCACCTGTAGCTGAAGAGGTGCAGGATAGCACCAAGACCCAGAGTTCAAGCCCTATGACCAACAAAAAAATAAAAATTAAAAAAAATTAAAAAGAGATCATCAAGCAAAAGCAAGCAAGACTCAGCCCAACAGTAGCTACCCAAATCTGCCAGCTTTGAATGGCAAGAGCTTACTCCTGGATTCCAAGTAGCATTTCCAAACTCTGCACCACAATCAAAACACGTCCACTTAGAAGTGGTAGCCAGATGCTGCTCCTTTGGGCATGGTCATTAAGATTTAATTATCTGCTTTCCCAGTGAGGACCACTCTTACTCCCACTGATTTTATTGATGAGGCACAGTGAAGTTGAGTGACCGGCTCAGTGACACACAAGCTAATCAGAGTAACCAGAGTTCAAGTCCACACTTTACTCCAGCATAGCCCTGCTGGTGATTTCTATGACTGTTAGAAGTTTTTGCCTGTGTGTCACTGGTTTTTGTTTTGTTTCTTTTTTTCTGGATGAGGAAACTGAGGCAGGGGTGTCTGCTTTTTTCAGTGCTAGAATGAAATCTCTGGCACTTTGCTAACCGTCTCAGAAGCACAGAAGTTGTGCACAGCCAGCCTGGCTTAGCTCATGTGGCCTTGGCCCCTGCTGGCCCGGAGGGCCGGCCGCCTGTGGTTTGGGAAGGGGGTGTAAGCACACTGACCCTTGTTTCTTTCTGTGGCTCTCATCCCAGATCTCACCTCCACCCACGATGACCCAGTCCCCCCAGAGCACCATGGATGCCTCGTTGAAGAAGGAGAAGCCGGCCATCCTGGATCTGTACATACCGCCTCCGCCCGCCGTGCCCTACTCTCCTCGGTAAGGCGGTCCCGTATTCCTGCGGAGCCCTCTGTGTGTGTGCTGATTGTAAATGAGACCCGCTGGCGCAGCAAGGGAGAGGAGGCTGCTGATGTTCAGGGTGAGGGGCTGGATGCAGGAGCCACTTAATAATGAGACCAGCTGGGTACGAGAGACTCACATCCATAATCCTAGCGACACAGGAGTCTGAGATCCAGAGGGCTGCAGCTGGACGCAAGGTTAGGCAGATTGGTCTGAGAGGCGCTCTCTCTAAAATGAGAAGCAAAGAGGAGGACTGTCACCGGGCGCTGATGGCTCACTCCGGTAATCCTAGCTACTCGGGAGGCTTAGATCTGAGGAAGGCAGTTTGAAGCCAGTCTGGGTAAGAAAGTCCCTGAGACTCTTTATCTCCACTTAACAGAAGTGGAGCTGTGGCCCAAACTGGTACAGCACTAGTTTTGAGCACAAAAATGCAGGACAGTGCCCAGGTCCTGAGTTCAAACCCCACATCAATTTAAAAAAGTAGGGCCAGAGGCATGGTTCAAGCAGTACAGCACCACCCCAAGCAAGCCAAGTGATCAAGAGACCCTAGGAACTAGCTAACTAAAAAACTAAGGTCAGTCTTACTGTATAGCAAGTGCAAGAGAGATCTCACTTCATAAGCTCTACAGCTTTGTGGGGAGGGGGCCCTTTAAGAAAAGAATGCCAAAATATCTGCCTCTTCCCAGGTTCTTGCAAGGTGGCTGCCCGAGGGCACTGTGGTTTATGTTTCATTTACTCCTGGATAAATTCATCTGTGAGGAGGAGGATTGTAAAGATTGCTTCTGCTAGAGTCCAGTCGTTAGAGTTAGAGCCTGACTTTGCTTCATGCACTGAAAACACTACATGAGGTTGATATGGACTAAAGTAGTTGTGTGTGTGTGTGTGTGTGTGTGTGTGGGTGTGGGTGTGTGTGGGTGTGGGTGTGGTGTGGGTGGGTGTGGTTTTTCATCCTGAATGTGATTGGTATGATGAGATAGTCACACAAGATGGTATGAAGTTAGCTGGGTGATGAGTTTTGGTTCACTTCAGGCTTATGCATGCCAAACCATGTATTTACACATGTCAAGAAAACCAGAGGATTTGGCTCATCAGTTCGCATGCATTTACTGAGCTGAAGGGCCAGGGCTGTCACCTGACACAAAGCGGCCTCAGTCCCGGCTGCCAGATATCTGCCAGTGCATCAGACAAACCCTTCAGGCATAAATTGAGAAATAGATACTTAGGGTTAATTTCACATGCACACACATCCTGGCTTCTGTGGTGACACCTGGCTTTCTGTCTGACTCTCTTCTCGCGCTGTCCCCTGGGTTTAGCCGGAATGAAGGGCCATGAACTGGGCTTGCCTTTGTAGTCAGGGGAATCCTCTTTACCGACAAAACTGCATCGGGATTCACAGGCCAGCGTCCCTTGGCCCCTCGAGCTGCAGGGAGAGGTTTGCTGACCCTGCCCATGGCAGTTTCTGTGACCACTCCAGTGGAGATTGTATCAAGTTGTGGGAAGATCCCCTCCTCTGCCCCTGAATGTTCTTCTTTTGCCCTTAGTTTGGGGGATGGGGACCTCAGGAATGTCATCTAGGAAGGGATATACATAGTGAGAGAGAGGGGGAGATAGATAATACACTCAGGGAGATGCATGCATGCACGCCCACATCCTCCATTAATTAATGAAGAATATGTATGTACATTTGGTGGTACCGTACTGGGCTTTGAACTCAGGATCTCACACTTGCTAGGCTGAAGCTCTACCGCTTGAGCCATGCCTCCAACTTTATTTTTGCCAGTCCTGGGGCTTGAACTCAGGGCCAGAGCACTGTCCCTAATGCTTCTTTTTGCTCAAGGCTGGCACTCTACCACTTGAGCCACAGCGCCATTCCTGGCTTGTTCTGTTTATGTGGTGCTGTTTATGTGGTGCTGTTTATGTGGGCTTCATGCATACTAGGTAAGCACTCTACCATTAAGGCACATTCCCAGCCCCTCTCCTCCTTTTTTTCCAATTATTTTTGAGGTCAGATCTTGCTTTGACCACAATCCTCCTATTAATACTTACCATCATAGTTGGGATGACACATGTGTACCACCACACCTGGCTTTTTCTGTGGAGGTGAGGTCTCGTGAACTGTTTTGCCCAGGCTAGACTGGAGCTCTCTGATTCTTTTTAAATCCCTGCCTCTCAAGTATCTAGGATAGTAGAAGTGAGTCACCAGTGCCCAATTATGAAGGATATTTTTTGAGGGAAAAAAATTGCAAATGGCGTAGAATCGAATAGTGTGATAGTCATGTGTGTGGGAAATGACTAGCAGAGGGGAGAGGGGTCTGTGCCAGGGACAAGAGGTGTGGGAGGAGAGGGACAGGCGCAGGGGTGAAGGGGGAGAGGGATTCTGGGTGGGACAGGTAAGCAACCCTTGGCAGGCTATCCTCGGGCAAGTCCAATAAAGAGATTGCTCTGGGCCACTTAATTCTGTGGCCTGTCCAGTACTGTGTGTGTTACTGATTACCAAAGGAGGAAAAAAACCCCAACTTAACCATGTGGTTACTTGAGCTCGGCTAAAATTAAGTTCTTTTCTGAATTGATATTTCGATCCAATTACAATGGAACCAGTGATTCAATGGTTTGTTCATCCCCCACTCCCCCCCAAGTTTCTTTTTTGTTTGTTTTTGGGGCCCGGTAGTGGGGCCTGAACTCTGGGCCTGGCGCTGTCCCTCAGGTCTTCTGCTCAAGGCTAGCGCTCTACCACTTGAGCCACAGCACTACTTCCGGCTTTTTGCTTTTTGCTTATGTGGTGCTGAGGAATTGAACCCAGGGCCTCATGCATGCAAGGCAAGCGCTCTACCACTCAGCCAACTTCCCAGCCCCCCCCCCAAGTTTCTTTAGTGAGTTCAGAAATACTCTCCACTGGTTACTATAAAGGACCTTTTGTATTTGGGGGCATAATGTTCCAAATCTAAAAATGTCATTGTGGACCAGAAGTCACTTTGGGTGGATCTCGGCAAAGATACTACTCTGGGCCTGAGAAAAATGGTTCAGCCATTTGCATTTGAACTTGTGAGGAACCTCCGTCGCCGGCCAGAACTCAAGAAAATGACAGCTATTTTCTCAAAGGCCTGTCTGTACCATTTAGACACATGGAAAACAATCAAACACTGCAGTTGCTCCAATTCATAGGCTGGAGGTTTTTCTTCTTTTTTAATAGGGTCTGCACATATCAGTATAGCTGGTGTTGGGAAAAGCTGTGCTTTTTCTCCAGCGAAAAAGAGGGGCTAGAGTGGGATGCAAGCCGGTGGTACAGGACTCCAGCCACTGCTCAGAGGAGACAATATGCGTGAGCATCCTAATTCTGACATGTTATCTTTCAGGAATGAGAATGGAAACTTTGTGTATGGGGGAGGCTTCAATAAGGGCAAACAACTGTTGCCCACGCCCAAGGGTTCTGAGTCCCCCAATTCCTTCCTGGACCATGAGAGCCGGAGACGGAGATTTACCATCGCTGATTCTGACCAGTTGCCTGGGTATTCCGTGGAAACCAGTGTTCTGCCCACAAAAATGAGAGAAAAAACATCGTCTTATGGTAAGTTTCCTTTTTACTTCTCCTCTCCACCGCCCCCCCTCCCCTTCCCTGTTTGGAACTGTTGAGCAAGTTTGGCAGACTTAAAGGGTAATCTGAGGAAAGCATAAACCTCAATGAAATTCTAAGTATGAGGTCTCTATTCATCTCGCTAAAGCGAGGCCTTGTTGAGGCCTTCCTATGCCTGGCACCGGGGCGCAGCTGAGTGAGCTCACATTTCAGTGTGGACTTTCACTGCCTGAGCTTTAACTTTAGAGTTGTAGATGCAAAGATTCGCTCAACACGCCTCAGCCCTAACTGCTTGCTGTGGAAACGCCTTTACAACTGGCTATAGCTTCTGTTCAAGTGGGTGTTAGTGTGGGATTTAAATTGTCAATAAAGGCAGAGACCCAAACCTCACCAACCTCCTCTCTTTTCTTCTTCTCTTGAAGGCAAGCCCCGGCCCCTGTCCATGCCCGCCGATAGCAACTGGATGGGCATCGTGGATCCTTTTGCCAGACCTCGAAGTCACGGCAGGAAAGGTAGGTTTCATCTACACAGGCCCAAGGCCCTCACTGCAGGTCTGTTCCCACATGTGCCGTGCTAACTAAACAGTAGTCCCATTTTGTTACCTGTTACCGTTGCGGAAGGGCTCTAAGAGCCTACTAGTTTCTGGTAGCTCATTGGCTGCAGCTACTCATCACCTATGTTTTGTCATTGTTGGTTGTGGAGCTGGAACTCTGGGACTAGTTGTTGTTACTGAGCCATTTTTGCTCAAGGCTAGCACTATCACTTTGAGCCACAGCTCTACTTATGCTTTTGGGGTGGGTAATTGGAGATAAGTGTCTCATAGATCTTTCTGCCCTGGCTGGCTTAAAACAAACCATGATCCTCAGATCTCAGCCTCCTGAGTAGCTAGGATTACAGTGCCCAGCTAATCACCTACCTTTTGTCAGTAGTGGGATGTGAACTCAGGGCCTGGGTGCTGTCCTGTAGCTTTTTTGCTCAAGGCTGGTACTCTCACCACTTGAGAGCCACAGTTTCGCTTCTGACTCTCTGCTTGTTAATTGGAGCTAAGAGTCTTATGGATGTTCCTGCTTGGGCTGGCTTTGAACTAGGTTCCTCAGATGTCAGCCTCCTGAGTAGCTAGGGTTAAAGATGTGAGCCACCAGCGCCTGACTCAATGACCTACTTTTAAATAGAAATAAATTATTCATTAAGCAGTTTCACCCTAAATTCCATAACTGTTATTACTGGAACCTACTTGACATCTGGTGAAAACATAGATGGTTTTCTCTCCCAAATCTTTTTTAGATTAACAAGAAATGTGGGTTTCATTCACTGGGCGTCAGTTACTAGTTCTCACACTAGTCTTCTGAAATTATCTCACAAGGGAAATGTTCAAAATGCTTTTATTTATTTATTTTGCCTGGTTGCATTTGACTGTGAGCATTAGCAGGATAGTATAACATCACTCTGTAGTTTTGAGACAAATAGACAGTGAAGAAGTTAAAAGTCTGGTAGGCTTTAGGTAGTAAAGAGAAGAAGGGGAAAAAAAATCCAGTGCCCAACCTACCGAAGTGACCAGCCCTAGATACCTAGTAGAGCATCAGTCAAATTTGTCCTCTATGCAGCCACCCCACCTCGATACACGGAAGTGCTGAAGGGGCCAGTGCGGGTCTGTGGGCCAGGGCACCCTCAGTGGATTATAATGTGAAGATTCATGCAGCAGTCAGCAGGTGGCAGGCCTTTCCTTTGTTTAATTTTAGAAGTCAGTGTTCACCTCTTCATGGCCGTTCCTCAGAGCCCAGGCTTAGCTCTTTATTTCTTGTATATTTTGAGAGAGAAGTTATAGAGCTGAGGATTTAAGAGAGCAAGAAATGGAAAAACCTACTTGTCCCCAGTACTCTCTGTCTGCTTTTCTTGCATGATTGTTAATAGAATTAAATGCACCTGTCTGTGCATGACCACTTTAAAACAATAGCAACTCTCTTTGATTGAATTCATACCGTGTGCTATTCCCCATTTTAAAGTCTGTTACTTGGGGGTCTTGTGGCTTTGGGCAGTCATCACCACAGTCTAATAATAGACCCTCACCCTCATCCAGAAAGACCCCTCTTCCTCTCCCCCGCCATACTCAAGCCTTGGCCTTTCCTAGGCCCCAGTCTACTTTGGATTTGCCTGTTATGGACATTACATGAAAATATCTTGCGATATGTGGCTTTTTGAAGATGGGCACTTTGAAAAGACTTTTCTTATTACAACAGCAAAGGGAGTACTTTGAGAAAACACGGAGGAGCCCTAAGCAAACAAAACTCAGCCAGAATCTATTTTCTCCCCACCTAGAAACAACGGCTGTAAACCTTTTGTGACTCTTTCAGTGGTTTCTATAGTTATGAACGACATGCTTGACCAAGGAAGATGTTCAAGAACACCTTGTGAGGAGATCTTCCCAGACCATGTCGTGTTTTAATACGGCCGCATTAGCCTCCTGTCTCATGACTAGAATTTCTGTTCATTCACTTTTCTGTCATTGGACATTTCGGTTATTTTTTTTCCTCCCAATTATAAGCATCTCTGTACACAGATCTTTGTACATTCTGGGCAGTGAGCTTGCTAGAGAATGCTATGAGTTACCAACAGGTTCTGCATTTGAAAGTTCCATGCCATCGAAGGAGGTTTTCTGGCATTTAAAACAAGGTCAGAATATCCCAAGCTTTGTGTGGCATTAAAGTCTTTGCCTCTGTGTCTCTCCCGAGCAAGGACACCCAGCTTGGTGAAATGCCCCTTCAGGCAGCTCTGTGTGAAGAGCTGCGGCTCTGGGAGGCGTGAGACAAGGGCCGGGCACGGTGGCGGGACAGCAGAGCTAGAAGTGACAGCAGAGCTGGAACCCTGTGCCTTCTGCCTTTGGCTCTCCATTCCAAGTGCAGTAGACATTTCTTTTTCTTTTTGAGTATTTTTTAAAGCTATCTTTAAGTCGTTGAATGAAGGGGCTGCCATGCAACACAGCACCTTGTGAATTCAGCATGTATGACCAGTGTCCCCCCCCCCCAACATGCTCACCTCCCCCACCCGCCCTCCCTCACGCTTCTGAAGTTTTAGAATATGTAGTGATTTTTTTTTTTTTTTGCTATTTAACAAAGCAGGTCTTGTATGTAAATGCGTCTTGGCCTGTGTCACTCCTGCCACATTTCACCCTCCTTCAACCCACCCCTTCCCCTTATTTTTCTTAATTTTGTGTTATATATGTGAATTCTCCCCTTCATTCACTACCCTCTCCCCTCAGGCCCCTCCTGCCATATCCTGGTGCTTCCTTACACTATTTGTAAGAAGTGATGGGTCTTTTCTTCTGCTGGGCCTTTTTTATTGCCCATGTGGGTTTTAAGGCAGCCTGAAACATGAAGAACTCCTTTTCTTTGCTTCCAGCTCCCCCATAGGGTAGGCCTGGCTTCTGAGAACTCTGCCAGGCGGAAGGAGTCAGGTAGGGTACCCACTTTCAGAGTGGCATCAGAAGTAGGGTGTGCCCAGGACTCTCCAGACAGTGCTGTGCCACGGTAGATCCCAAGAACATGGTAGCATCTAAGAGCATGATCCTAAGAGCATGGTAGAGTCTAAGAGCATGATCCTAAGAACATGATCCTAGGAACACGGTAGAGTCTAAGAACATGTGGACTTTATCTGCCAACAGGGGAAGAGGCCCTTTGCCGGTACTTCAGTAACGAGCGGATTCCTCCCATCATTGAAGAAAGCCCCTCACCCGTGTACCGGCTGTCCCGACCCACCACCGAGCGGCACCTGGTGCGAGGGGCAGACTTCATCCGGGGGAGCACCTGCTACATCAACTCCGACCTCCACAGCAGCGCCACCATTCCATTCCAGGAGGAGGGAACCGAGAAGAAGTCGGCCTCTTCAGCGGCCAAGTCCTCCTCAGCAGAACCGTCCCTGCTGGTCAGCTGGCTCACCCGCCTCAAGCTGTTGACTCACTGAGGCCCCAGCGCCTCCTGCCTGTCTCCTGCTCCCAAGTGCCTTCAGCCTTCAGAAGCCAGCCTCTTCCCACGCCACGCTGTGTTCCCCAGTGACCCTGCCTAATTCCACGGCTTCTTTGTTTGGCAAAGTTGGATACTGCCCTTGTTGGAATTCTGGAGTAGTCGGATGACAGTCTGGAGGGTCGTGGAGACAGAAGGAGGGACATGCAGTTGCTTCCCTTGCACGCCGGTTGGAAGATGGAGATAGACTCTAGAAATTGGCATGATGGCCAGACACATTGTGATCATCTTCAGGCGCCAGTGGCATTGTTTAATGCTGTTTTCTTGTGTGTGTGTGTGTGTGTTTATAGTTGGGGATGGGGACTAAAATTGGTGGCTTTTGCCACACAGGTGTGTTGGTTTGTGGTCCAACTTCTTTACCTGAGAAAAATGCCAATGGAGAAAACCTATTTTGCTTTATTTTGATTTTTTTTTTTTTAAAGCCATAGACCATCTGTGTAAGTGCAACACCTTCACCTTTGAGATGACCTGTGTCAAGCATAGGCTGCTCCTCAGAGCAGAAGTTACACCTGCTAAAACCCTCTCTGCATTGTGATCTCAGTCTAGGCCAGTTAAAGTGGAAGCATATACGTGCACATGTGATAGGGCTTATTGTACATAATAATGTATGATTATTTGTGAGGGGTTGCTGTTGTTTTGTTATCTATTATTGTCTTTAAGGGAAAAGAAGCTATAAGATTTGCTAAAAGCCAAAGTATCACTCAGAAAAGTGAAGCGACAAGGCTTAGGTTTTATAAGAGATACGTGAGTCTGTATTTTGATTTGTTCGATGTCTTCTATTTTTACAAAGAACCCGTAGTTCTCCCCAGGTGTAGGATCAGATCTGTTGCTAATCAGATCTGTTTCAGAAAGCCCTCATGGTCACTGTTTTTCAACTAGCATCAAGTATTTTGGAAAAAGTGTGTCTGTATATTAACTCTTGTTGAAACTAAATGTATGATATTTTGTTAGAGTGGAAAAGTACTATCTTGTTAATTTAAGTGTTTTAAATATAGTTGTATATTTTTCTTACTCTTAGTCATGTGTGATTGAAATATTTCTGTTTCGCCTTAGTCATGAACCTCATGAAAAAGAATCTTCAAGGTGTTTGCAGATTTATAAGTGACCACTGTGGTTGTGGCATAAATATTAAAAAGAAAAATAAACCCTTCTAAACAAGGTCAGGGCTTTTATGAATCAGTGGGGGAGCAGCTGAGGAAACAGTGAAGTGAAATTAACAGGAGGGACATTGTCCAAGGTATATTCCCAGGCCACACTAGGATCTTCTACACCAAATACCAGCCTGTTCCCCTGGGCTCATTGACTTTACCGAACTGCCAGCAACCCGACTCGTGAGAAGCTAACTCCATAGCAGACTAGTTTTCTTTTTTGGTTTTCGGTGCCTTGGGTGAGACTAAAGGAAGCAGCAATCATTCTCATTCCTGGGGTTGTGTACAATCCAGGAATGGCTTCTGGCTTCTTGTAGATATAAAAGGGAACTACAGGAAGATACGGGTTTGCATGAGGGATGGAGAGTACTCTGCAAATGGAGAAGGATAGAGTAGGATGGATGGATGGTGGATAGATCATAGATACATACATAGATGATCAGACTGAGGTCAGCCTGCAGTGTGTGATTCATCCCCTGCTTTGCATGCCACAGGAGGCAGAGGGTGCTCACAGGGTCTGGATGGCAAGAAAGCCAGCCTTGGCCCCTTTTCCTGTTAGCGCAAGCTGCCCTTCTGCCCTGGAAATGGCCTGGCAATGCTTTCTCTCCATGGGTTTCTGAGGGGTTCTCAGTGCTGTAGTTCCACTGCTTCGTGGGTTAAGAAGCTTTGCAGGTTGTAGCTTGCAAAGTGGCCTCTTTTCTCTGGGGAAAAATGCCATTGTGGAGTGGAATAACCAGCCTGAAAATGAGTTTTCAGAGCTCACCTTTAGCTTGGTTGCCGTTCTCAGTTTAATGACTGGACCAGATCAGTACTTTGCAGTTCTTTCCTGACACACCAGGGGCAGGCCGGAGAAAGAGCTGGCTTCTACTTACTTCAGTTAGTCTTTTGTTCTTTTGTGCTGGTTCCAGCACTAGAACTCAGGGCCTTTGTGCTATCCCTGAGCTTTTTTGCTCAAGGCCAGCACTCTACAACTTGAGCTATAGCTCTACTTATGGCCTTTTGGTAGTTAATTGGAGGTAAGAATCTCACAAACTTTATTGCGCAGAACCATAATCCTCAGATCTCAGCCTCCTGAGTCGCTAGGATTATAGGCAGCAGATACTGAGGCTCCACTAGAGTTACATTTTATATTAGTTGTGCTCACGGCAATGCTAAGGATAATCAAGGGTTAGCCATTGATGTTTAGATCAGAAGTAGCATTAAACAAACAAAGTCCCTCAAAACTATACATGTACTGTATGTTGGAAAAGAAGGGACTCAAACTAAAGCCTTTTAATGCTTCATTTCTCCTTTTGTGTTTGGGACATTTAAATAAGTACAAGAACATTTAGGCCTACTTTGTGATGCTGTTTTCAATTGGGACTATAACTGATTGCCCTTCTAAGGTTTCTCCCAAGAAGGCGTACCATGGAGCCACCTTAAAGAGTATCTATTGTTTTCAATTAAATTATGCTCTTAGACAACAAATAGAATTTCAGGGTGTGAGATTTGGTATGTGTGTTAGTTTAAACTAGCAACTCTAGTTCATCTGGTTTATCTGGTGCTTTTTCTTAAATACTTGCTTCTGGATTCTTACACCATAATGAGGATCACATCCCTCCAGGTCCAGATACTGAGTTAAGTTCCAATCTTATCTCCTGGTCTCTATTCTGGACAAAATTGGTCTTTTCTTTGCAAGTATTTAATCACCATGTTAGTTAGATGTTTAGCTCTACAACATAAAGCATGTGCTTTTCTAGGTAGTTCTGGTAAGCAGAGAAAATATTATTGAAATAGATGGCATAATTAATGACTGTGTATTCAGAAAAAAATGTACAAAAGATGATAGTTCCTTGGGAAAAAAATTGAATTTTCTATTAAGTTTTTTTTTTTTTTGGTGTACAGACTTTTACATATAGAATTTCATTACATTGGCTCTCATTTTAAAGAAAACATTCCATTAGATGTCAGAACTCATTTATAGGAAGACTAAATCTTGGCCAGGGACAACAACTTCTTTGGTTACTGGTTACAGTGACTGCTGAGAAAGTAAGCATTTTCAGAAGCTTACAAAGGACCAACTCATTTGAGGGTTAGGTAGCTAGTTTCAGATTAGCCATAATAAAATTAATGGCAGGGTGAGGTAAAAGAACGTTCTGTTTTTTTGTTTTGTTTTTTCCTGGTTGTAGGGCTTGAACTCTGGGCCTAAGCGCTGTCCCTTAGCTCTTCAGCTCAAGGCTAGCACGCTACCACTTGAGCCACAGTGCCACTTCCAATTTTCTGGTAGTTAATTGGAGATAAGAATCTCACGGACTTTCTGCCTGCGCTGGTTTTGAACCGTGATCCTCAGATCTCAGCCTCTTGAGTAGCTAGGATTACAGACATGTACCACCAATGCCTGGCAAAGGAATGTTCTTACAAGAACATTTAGGCAAGATGGGGGATAATCCCATTTTGCAATATTTGATCGAAGGAAGTGAGAAGACCAGGGTACAAATACTAAAGGTTGAGAGGTAGAACCATGGAGAACATTGCTGCTACTATTTTGAGTACAAGAAACTTTGCTGCTGCAATTGTGTGAGACATGGAAGTTTAGTTAGTGAATAATGTCCTTTGCTCATAGATACACTGAGCTTGTCTGTGCCAATGGCCTGTGACTTGGTTAATACAAGGAAATAAGCAGAAATTCTGCTCCCTGTGAGCCCCGTACTCCAAAAACGACAATCGGCAGCCGGAAACATCCAACTCAGATGCAGTTCAACAAAGGGAAAAAAAAATTAAAGGAGACACTGGATAATTAAATCAGGAGACTCCTTGGTAAATAGCCTTTAATGATGATGATTGTGACTAGGTTTCCATATGTTTGTTTTTCCCCAGTTAATACTTTGGAGTTCTTTGATCAAAAGCACTCTTGTAGAATTAACTGAAAATGTGGACTGCCATTCGCTCATTACATGGGGAATGCGATTGAGTTCTATTCTTGGCAGTGGAAAATACCTGGTGCATGCAAATAAGAAAACTGCTTCTCTGCTCTCCTTGCATGAGGGAATGCTTTCCGCCCAAGTCCCTGGGAAGCTCCTGTTCGGATCTGGTAGCTTTTATTCTACTTGACTGTTTCCATCCATGCTCCTTCACTTCTGACCTTGCTTTTTTGTTGTTGTTGGCTGGTGTGTGTGTGTGTGTGTGTGTGTGTGTGTGTGTGTGTGTGTGTGGTACTGGGATTTGAACTCAGGGCCTTGCTCTTCCAAGGCAGACATTCTACATGTGAGCCATACCTCTAGCCCTTTTTGCTTTGCCCAGGGGTAGCTTGGGCTGTGACCCTTCTATCCATGCTTTCTGTGTCTATGGGATGACAGGTGTGAAGAGCATCTCCAGCTTTTTATTGAGTTGAGGTATGGCTAACATTTTCTCCAGGCTGGTGTTAAGCGTCAGTTTTCCTGCTCTCTGCCTGTGGTGTAGCTAGAATAAGTGTGTATAGGTGTGGGCCACTGCTCCAGCATCTTGCTCTCTTCTCAAGCCTTTGTGAGTTCCTGATGCAGTTCAGTAAGTCTTGTGGCTTCTCCAGTTCAAGGCTTCTAGGTTATCCTGGTATTTTCCACATGGCTGGGTGGAAGATGGACCATGGGAAAATGAGCACTTAACCTACTGGGTCTCAGAATAATGGGTCTCAGAGCTGGATGGTTGCAAAGGTGATTGGGAAAGATTCTGGTGAGGACTTAGGGTCTCTGGCATCCTTGAGCCTCTCTCTGATCAAGGCTAGTGCTCTACCAGTTGAGCTACTGTGCCACTTCTGGCCTTTTCTGTTTATATGGTACTGAGAAATTGAACCCAGGGCTTCATGCATGCTAGGCAAGCACTCTACCACTAAGCCACACTCCCAGTCCTCTGGCATGCTTTTGAGATTCATTAATATACAGCTTTTCTTTCCTATCATTAATACTCAAGGATGTAACTTCCTTTCAAGACATTACTTTTGCCATAATTCATAAGACTTGATGTATAATGATTTCATTACCATTCAATTTGAACTAATTTTAAATTCAGATTATGATTTATTCTTTGATTCATGCATCATTACAAAGCTTATGTATTTCTAACACCTTAGGCGAATGAAGGATTTTTTTTTTAAATGTAAGACAGTAAAAGGGATGGCCAATAATGGAAAAGGCCACTTAGCTATCCTAAAGCTAAAAACACCTTTTCATCAAAAGACACCTTGAAGAAAATAGAAAGGAAGGCTACAAATTGGGGGAAAGAAAAAAAAATTCTAAAATTCTAAATTTTAATTCAAGAAATAGAAATCATTTTCACAAATAAGAGAGAGAAAATCAATACAAAAATGAGGGGGAAGAAAGCATTTATAGAAGGGAGCACCAATGTTCCGATGTATTTGGGATACATCACCAAATACCAAATACAACTTGGAGGCATCACTGCGATCGCTTACATCCAACCCATAGGAATGACTGCTCAAATCACAGCTGACCTTCAAATGGGAAGTAATGTGGAAGTACTTTGTAGATGTATGGGGAGGATCAAGCAATCTTGTATGCAGGTATGAGTTAGCATGGAATATCTGTATACCCTAAGCCTATCGATTTGATTCTCAGTTCTATACGGTAGAAGATAAAACGCTAACGACCTGAGAGCTAAATGCTATGATACAAGGAATAATCCCCTTTCTGCTGGTTACCCCCAGAAAAAGTGCTGGGCCTGTAGACCTTCTTGAAAGCTGGTGCATTACTGAGGACAATCAGATCAGCTCTGATGAAAAGTTTAGACCCCATTTTCCTGGTGCTGCCAGGGCCAGAGGGAGCCATTGCTTGTAGTTTATTACAGAGTGGTTTAAGAAGCCGCTCTTGTTGCTAGTTGGCAGTCAGTGTCTCTCAG